GTGGATACTAATTACCTAATTTGCATAATGATTAGTCAATTTTCGTTTTTTTCACTGATATCTCAAGTACTAATCATCACATTTCAATGAAACTTGGTACATAGATGTCATATGACACTGCACAGACCTGATAGTTTTTATGGTAAGATCAGTACATATAATTACCTAATTTGCATAATTAATTAATTTTCAGCTTTTGATATAAGTAGTGAGCATTACATTTCAATGAAACGTGGTACTTACATACTCAAGGACTATGCAGAGATTGATTGTTTCGGATAAATATTTGTGCATATTAATCACCTAATTTGCATAATTAGTTAATTTTCAGCTTTTGCACGGGTATCTCAACTACTAATCATCGCATTTCAATGAAACTTTGTACATAGATCCTTTAGGACTATGCAGAGACCTGATTAGTTTTAGGCTAAATAATTGTGCATATTAATTTCTACTGATATCTAAAGTACTAATCATCACATTTCAATGAATCTAGAATTATGCAGAGACCCAATTAGTTTTCGGTAAATATTTGTGCATATTAATCACCTAATTTGCATAATTAACCAATTTCCAACTTTCACACTGATATCTCAGGTACTAATCTGTGGGAAAAGGTTCGACGTATGTGTGTGCGAGAGAGTAAAACAAGGCGATGTTGACTGTTTCAAACCTAAAGAAGAATTAACTGATTTATTTCTCAGTAATACAGAGATAATTAACACGTGTTGTTTATACAGTTAAAGTAAACAACTACGACTAATACTAAATATAAAGTCAGACATGAAAGGCGGCATTAAAACTATCTACACACAGGATGTTGCGTAATCCATCTACTAATACCAGCCATGAACAATATGCGGTAAGAGTCTGTTTGATGGCGGCAGCGTTTGAGATAATACAACAACTACACAGATTTTCCGACATAATCATCACATATCAATGAATGTTTGTACATGGATGCTGTAGGACAATAGACAGACCTCGATAATTGTGGGTTAAAATCTGTACATATTAATTACCAAATTTGCACAATTAACCAATTTTAAGCTTTCACACTGATATCTAAAGTACTAATTATTCCATTTCAATGAAACTTAGTACAAAGATGCTCTAGGACATTGTATAAACCTAATTAGTTTGGGGTAAAAATCTGTTCATATTAATTCCCTAATTAGCGTAATAATTCATAATTTTTTCGTTTCGTTCTAATCACATTTTAATTAAACTTGGTACATAGATTTTCTGTTACATTGCGCAGACCTCATTAGTTTTACACTAAAGTCTGTTCATATTAATTTTCTGATTTGCATAATTAGTTTTCAGCTAAGTAATTCCGAATTATATTTAATGTGTTACAATACTCTCAGCACATGGGAGTTCTTTCTAAGCTTTCTTTGATTGATATTTACGTGTGCCGCCGAACTTCATGCGTACCTCAAGCAAATAAACAAAAAAACATCAACGTGGAAATGAAAATATAACAAATACATTGACAATTCTCAAGACGTTCTTAGCTGAGATTTCACCCATGAAGGCGCTTGGCTCGCACTGGGCAGTGTATTCCCTCGCCAGTTTCAACGTTGAGGGCGACTATTCAGACTAAAATGGCGTCGTTGGACTTTACTACAATGATGGAACAGTGTGAATCACAGGAATTAGAGGTGAGTTGACGGCATTGCAGGGTGTAAATATGTTGTCAGTGTTGCGTTCCTTCACATCATGAAAAGGGAAAACTAATTCAACGTGGAAGCATATAAACTTGAAACTAGAATTATTAAGGGAAAAATAAACCATCGGGGCGCGACGTGGGCAACATGGTTTACTATTATACTAAAATATGTTGGAATATTTAGAATAGTAATAAATTCTCACTTTCGGTCCGGTTAGACAGTAAATGTACAGTACATTGTACTGTACCACGAATATTTACTTTCGAGATGTAATAACAGTAATTGTTGACATGTATTAGTTCTTGCATATGTTTGTATCGTCGTTCTGTACTTCGTTTAGTAATTCAGATTGCGTAAAAACCCAGATAGTTTCACGATTTTGACATCGAAAATGCCTTGGTTAAAAATTTGATCAATGCAAGAATTATTTCAAATTATCACCACTCAATTTTAAAAAAAGCACGAATATAATCTTTGAAACAAGGATATTGATGATGTTTTTATTTACTAAATATTTGTTTACATATAATTCCTGTTCTTTTAAACATATTTTTGTGTTTCAAGTCTGTTTCTATACGTGTTTGAGCCCATGTGACTTCTGATGTGTTCGAGACTGTGAACTATATTCATAACCATGCGTAATAATAATAATAATAATAATCAAGTTTTATTGCATCCTTAGGAATTACAATATTTCTTTTGGTAAAAAGCAATAAATATATCCATACACAACACAATTACAATACTATATAAATAGATACGTTAAAGTTTTCTGTACTCCATGGCTTTAAGTAGATAGGTCCCCATACATTTAATTGCCTTGGAGTCCTTATTGCTCATCAAAAATATAAAATTACTCAATTTATCTCCTGCATTAGTTAATGTAATTTCTGCGTATGAAAATTTGTGCTTACAACTCTTTCTAGGGGATTTGGATTATAACACGATCTAAATCCAACGTTAAGCCTATAAACGTTCCATTGTTTTAAGTGCCAAACCCCTTTGTTAAGTACAACAACAAACATTTCCTTGGTGTTTGTGAGCTCTTGTGTGATTGGTCAATGTATGGACAGCTCTTCCAATTCTGTGTTTTACTTCTTATCAATTTGTTTAACTTGGGGGTTATGTCCAAACACAACTCTCTCAACTGGAGATCTGTGTTGAAAAATAATCCTTTGTTGTTGCGGTATACGCAAGCAATGAACAACTTGTATTTTTTAACATCACTTCACCTATTAACAATTCACCCCTAGATGTGATAATTTCATTTCAATAGTAAAAATCCATTCTCAAAAATCCAAATAATCACAACCTCATCGAAATCCATTTTCTATTCTTACCCATTAGCCACACCCAGACCATTCATCAAAACGAGTGGTCTGGGGTATACTAGTACTCTGACCCATGCCGAGGACTTCCTATTTGTAATGCTATATGATAAATCAGACTAACTATCACGTGAAACCAAATGAAAATCATTATAAAATAATGTACTTCTACCCAATTGATTCTGGATTCATTGATCAGGGAAAAAGAAATGACATTTGCAATAATAATCATCGATAACGTTCGGTTGACGAAATAGACAATACAACAGTACAGATTGGACCTACATTAATGCTAATCAATTTCACATAAACAAATGTTGTTGTTGTTGTTTTTTTTGCTGTCGTACATTATCTTCGGTAATAACTCCGAAAGTGAAGTCTTGTATCTTCAACAGAACGTAGCCATTAAAACTTGCAAAACGAGTCTGTTTCAATCGATCATCGGTTAAGCAGCATACAATTTTTTTTTGTTTTGGCGCATTTAAAAAATACGAATAGTGTAATATCTGTCTGTGGCGTTCTTCAGAATGATAGATCTTGACCGATCGTATTTTTACGAAAGACCTGAATGTACAGCACTAATTTCATCCAACCTCCTGCTTATTTTTACTCACTTCATTTGCAAGCGGTTGTTGAATAATTTCTGCTGTATTTTTTTGACTGCGTGAACCTAGAAATATCGCCCGTCTGCTCGCTCGCATTTTAAATACATTGCCGTGACATTTTTTTTTTGCTCCGCTGTCGACTTTGTCGAGCAGAGCTTATTATATGAGTGATTGTTCGTCGTCGTCTGTGTCAATGTTTTACTTTTTCGACTTCTTCTTGAAAACTACAAGCCTGAATGCTTTGATAATTGGTGTATATGTACCTTGGGTAGACCATGATGTTCATGTCATTTTTGGTAAAAAGTGATATTTTCAACTTCTTGTTAAAAACTGCAAGTCCAATTGCTTTGATATTACATATATAGGTACTACATGTGGACCTCTCTCAGATTTGTTCATTTTGTAATGATATCTTTTGTTCTTTAATTGAAATGTGCATTGCTAACACCGGAGCTATCTCAGCCGAGAGGCTGCTTGTTTTGTTTTTTTGGAAAACACATTAATATGCTTCTGGTTTCTCTGCCATGAGGAGTTAGCATTTCTGTATCATGTAAATGCCTTGATAATCATATTGTTGAAACGAGGTAGCAGCCCTGGATTCAAATGGAACACAGTCCCGCTCTATCAGCTTGCTGTGGAACGTTCACACAACAAGTGGTCATAGTTCAAGTTGCATTCGCGAACAATACAAAATATGGTGGATTGGAAGTGTCATTCGGAATTAAATAATGGTTAATACTTGTTGAATCCTCAAACTTTAGCACTAAGACAACCATTTCTACAACTCATGTGCCAGTGATCAGTGTTTGGACAAGCGGTCAGTGTTTTTAATAAGCGAGTGAGAAAAGAAAGGGAAACAAATATGATTGTTTTCCGGTTGGAAATTAAGCGATATGCGGTTGATTAAAATGCGATAAAAGCGAGAGATTGGCCGAAATGAGTACTGATGCCCATTTATAGTTTGACATACGGCACCAAATGAGGACATGGTAGGAGTTGGTAGTACTAGTATGCACAGGGAGGAAGTCCAGAGAGGGAACATCCAACATCCCTTTTACGCGGAAAACGTGAAATCTCGACGGATTTGTTTCGTTCTCACATGTAATATTAGGTTTTGAGGCCTCTGAGTTCAAAAAAGATGACTAAATCAACCAAAAAGCATGCGTTTAGAGACATACCTATGCAGAAATTAGTTTGCCAGTACTTAATCCATTTTTAACACCTAGGCTACTCTATTGACATTGGCCGTTTATTTCATGGTTTTGGTACTCGAGGTGGCTGATAAGCCGTGTCGAAAACGTGCACAAAATGACCATTCTGTGCACATTTTCGACACGGATTAAAAACCAGTTGTAAGCAGATATTTTCATATGTGATTTTCTCAAAAAAAAAATGAGTTGATCTCTATTTTTCCTACACAAAATATGCTATATATAAACTTTCATGTAAATTATAGGTATTTCAATTTGTACGCCAATCATAAACGAATCGTACGCGAATCATACATGAATCAAACGCAAATCCAACCAGATGCTGTCTTCACATTCGTTGCGTGTGACCATTCTCTTCATTTTTATTTATTCTTGACTTTTCTCCCACATCACAAACATCTAGAACATTTAAACCTTTAAATAGTCAAAAATTCATGTTAGTTTGTTTCAAAGACTGCCATTGCACTAGTGATCACCAGAACATTGAAATGCTTTGTTATGAAATTCACATGCATTAAATTGTATTTTTTTGAGTCACATGCCATAAATTAGGTTTTTAGAGTCACCAAGTCCTTCTCTGGAATCTGTAATCAACTAATAATAACAGTGTTACTATCCAATTTTTGAACTGCATTTTTTTTCACTGTAACTTTACATTTTCAAAACAATTATTTACATGTACATGTATGTCCCCCAAGAAAGTTTCCCAATTTTATGCCTAAACGTGTTTCCAATGAAAGAATTACATAGATAGCTAAAAAAAGTACAATTGATTTCACTACCATGTCTTTTATGAAACCCCATCAGCCCGAAAGCTAGAAAATATGAGAAATAAAATGTTACATTATTTTCGCCATGTTTATTTATCATTGACTATTCCTTCACCATGATCTCCTGGAGTCTGTAATAAAACTGAATTCATGTCCTTCATTAAAATTCATAAAGGTCGTTTTGTTTTGGGCCTCACTGGTTACTGCATTTCCCAGAATCTTGCCAATATCGATTGGGTTGCTATTACTGTAGCCGTTGACATGGTAAATAGTATTTCACCCCTGATTTTTTGTTGCTGGAGTGATTAACGTTCCAAATTTAGAATCCCCTGGCGCCTCCAAATCAAAATAACCTGTTTAACCACTGGAAGGATTGGGCGAAAATTGGTCAATTTTCATGGACAACGGTCATTTGAATAGAATAACTTTTGAGTTTCTTCTATGCCTAGAAACATAGCATTGTTTCCTGTAGAAATAGTCCC